GAAAGAGACAAAAATTTAGGGGTGAAAAAAGACAAAAGGAATTGGGGAAAATTTTAGGAAAAGAGATAGGCATGGATTGTGTGATTTAATTTGGGCAAAGTTTTATGGCATTTACGATTGTAAACACCATTAAAGTCTACATTTAGCGGCGTTTATTTAAGAAAACGCTACTAAAAATACTATATTCCTGGCATTTGTTTATTAAAATGCCACTATTAGTAGCGTTTTTGATTAAAACGCCATTAAATATTAAAAAATGGTGCATTTCAATTTTAAAATAAATTTTATAAATTTATATTTTTAAAATAATAAAATTTCATAATTATTTTGTGGCGTTTATTAGATAAATGCTACTAAATTTTACATTTAGTGACGTTTTATATTCCAAACACCGCTATATTGTTTTTTAGTGATAAACACTACTAATTTTATACTAACACATCAGACGGCCACCAACTTTCTATTTTCCTGTAGTGATCCTATTACCTCTAAAATCCATTGCTAAAATTCTAATTAACCCATAACTAAATCTATCAGTTTTTCATAAGGATTTCATTGCTAAAGGAGTTATTCATGACAAAAATCTTTTGTCACTTCAATTTAATCATTAAAAGGGATGTTTTCTTGTAATGGATATAACCAATTGAAACTTGATAAAAGAAAACCTTAGTAAAAATCGATCCAACGATTTACAACTCTTGACAAATTATCAAGTTTATGGCCAGATTCCTTTTAAAGGTGCAAAAACACTGTTTCAATCATTAAAAGTAGAAATTGGAAATGCCCAGAACTATATGAAATCAAACAAAGATAATTCTATCTGAATTAAAATGAACAGAAATTGAATGGAAGTAGAGCAAGAAAAATCTTTTTTAATGGAAACTTTTGACCACAAAGAAATTGTGTGAACTCAATCCAAAAGATGTTAAGAAGCAATGATAATTGATTAAACACTCAAAGGCTAACAAAATCATCAAATTAAACACAACTATCACTAAAAATAAATTGTTTATGAAGAAATTTCTCACGGAGAGTTTGTTTTTTTTTTTTTGAAAAGTCAAAATTTATTGAAGTAACCATACTGTTACAAAGCTAGTCGAGACAAGCAGGAATGTAGTCTCCAAAACCAATACAAACTCATAAGAGAGACAAAGACCGCCAAAAACTAAATCGAAGAAAAGCACCCTACTGACTCTTCAGAATAGCTAGGATCAATCTAGATACAAAAACATGACTCCAAAGAGTGATTGACTAAAGAAAGCCTGCCACATTTGAGTACAAAAAGAAAAAAATAGAAAACTAATCATTGAAAGCAAGAAAAAAGATAAACTAATCATAGAAAATCCGTCGTATGTCATTATCTAAAATGTTATTATCTTTTTCAAGAATTACAAGGGGATCAAGAATACATAACGAGAACTTTGAAACCTTCTTCCTACTCTTTTTGTAGTTTTTCTGTTTCTTTTTCTTGACTTTGTGACCTTTTATAATCATCCTAATAGAGTAATAAAAAAGGTCAACAATATCTTCACTATTACCACCAAACTCCTCATCTTCCTTATTTAAAACACCCTCATCATTATAGATAGATTCCTCGTTTTTCTCTTTCTCAACTTCCTCAACTTCCTTGATTACCCCTTCATTATTAACAAATTCAACCAATTCTAGACCACCACCAATGTTGCTAGGTTCTCCTGCTACCACATAAGAATATGGAACCACATCACAAACATCATGGCATTTTACGGTAGATTCACCAATAACAACTCCTGTTTCACAAACCATCGAATCAAGGCTTCCAATATTATCTTGAATTGGATCAATATTAGGAATATTCGAGGACCCCGTAGCACTTTCAGATTGCTTGTCATCAATCAAAGGGTAGGCTTGTACTAGTTCATCTCCAAACTCCTTGACCTGTACATGGTTAGCCATCTCTAATTCATATGTGATAACTCCTCACCATCCCGCAAACTCTCCTTTGAATTCTCCAAGATATAAGCTTTTAGTATCTCATTTAGATTGATTTTGATAACTAAGGACCCATTGTCTAAATAGACTTGAATATGATTATATGCAACACCATAAGAAATAGAAACCGAACTCTTATTAACCTTATCCCCACACCATGCAAGAATCATAACTTTTCTTAAATCCAAATTCCTACATACTCTTTTTATAGCCGCAAGAGTCATCACATTTTCTCACGGAGAGTTTTAGAAATACAAAAACAATTCTGGAAAAAGTTGGAAGCAAGAAATAAAGCTATCGGCACTGAAGTATATTGAGTTTGACGTGCGTAGTAGGTGTGTCCTTTTATCGATTGGCGCCTATTTTTTTTATAGGTGATTTCCAACGGCTTTTCCTCTATTTTAGGAACCATCCCCTTTGCCTCATGCAATATAAGAGTTATTATACAAAATCAGCAACTGGTTCTTCCTTCCCTGATTTTATGCTAAACTTTAAGCGGTTCGCTTGCTACCCATTTCCTCTCTAACAGTTGCTAACGTCTCTCTACCATATATAACCTTCTCATTTGTCCAACTAAGCAGCACGCTAGCTTTAAATAATGTCATGTCATTCAAACAAACCTATCAACAAAATTTCACTTGTTGACATGTCCTTATTCTGTCACTGCTTGGATATTAATTAGTTCGTTAAAATGCCATGGCATTGCTTTTATCAAATTACCCTGACCTGCCACATGTCTCTTTCGGATTGATCAATTATTGTTATTTTAAATGACTTATTATGAACTAATAATGCTAATCATATATAAAGCCCATGCTTAAGCGGGGTGGCATTTTTATTTGGATACCGGGGGCCTATCTTCCATTGGGCATTAAATAAGTTTGTTATCCTTCGTATTGTGGGCACCACCTAGATTTAGGGTAGTGGGTCGATTGTTTGATAAAAGTGAAATAGAATCTAGTATTAGATTGTGTCTTAAATTAGAAATGTGAAATAGGAAGAAAAAACCACTTATATGAGAGCAATATGTTATTTTCCCTTGTTGCAAATTAAAATCTTGATTTTCTAATTCTAAAACTACGAAATCACAGTTACTCCGCGTATATTTGTACATTCTATCTTGAGCCGAATAAACATTAGTATATAATAAGTACAATTAAATTAATATTAAAAAGAAACAAAAATTAAATTAAATTATGGAATATATACAATTAGAAATATACGATCATGTTGACTGAAATTTAGATCAATTAATCTGATATTGAAATTGATGTTTGGAAATTATAAATTTAAAATATATATATGCAAAATGTTTTTTTTTACTCATATAAATATAAAATTAAAAGAATTCAATAACAGATTAAAAATTTTAAAAATGCGATTAAAGTGTTCCTTCCATTATTTTAGATTTGTGAATTCATCATATGGATAAAGTTAGACAAAGTAGCAGTGAGAGATGGACCACAATCTTCGGAATATGCAAACAACTTTTACCAATAACATGCTCCCCTTCTACTTTTTCCCTTCAATAAACTCTTGCTTTATCCTTTTTCTCCTTTATTCTTCTCATCTTTCCAGATCCAGTCAATGGTCGGTTGTAGGTGGCAGCTTTCTATTGGTCCACACCTTTGCAGCTGCAAATCTCAACCATTAAAAGAAATGATAATTCTCACCGTCATTCTTGGAAGTATCCTCATTCCACCATATTCATCGTCAAAAAGGAAGACTCCTTATGATGGAAGAAACGATTTAAAGCTAGAGCAATCTATTTACCCAAAAAGAAAATTCCAAAATCAAGAATAAAAAAAAAAAAAGGGTGAATAAAGCAAAGAAAATTCATTTCAATCAAACTTTTTTCTTTTTTCTTTTGTCTCAAACAAAATTGGAACTAGTAGCAAAAATAACTAAATGATGCGGGGTAGACCTGTTTCTTCGAACGATGAAATTAAATGGAGCTTTATATTCAAAATATATCGGCTGTGCATTTGTTTATTGATTATTTTATTTATTTTATTTAATTAACCATTGTTTTTTATGTGTAATACTTTAATATAATTATAATTTCTCTCATAGTAATAGTTTTATAAAAATATTTCACAAATATTTTAAATTCAAAATAGTGAAACTAATTCATGAACTTCCCAAAAAAATATTTCACTTAATTCATTTTTCTAACAGTTTCACATAATTTTAATTTGATTAATAATAGTTTTAAGAAAATGAAAAAAATTTCAAATCAAATCCATCAAATAAAAGTCACATTGTGTTTTAGCTTAACAAAACTATAGACATGTAAATTTGAGAGACGATTTTAGTTATAGAATATAAGATATCTGTTACATCGATCATATGTTAAATCGTTTCAATAATTCTAAATTTGGCTCTTCCCGTACTGACAGTTGGATACAGAGAATAATCATGGGTTCTGCATGATTCATCCTTTTTTTGAGTGGTCTTTTGTAACTTTTTATAAGAGGGGATCAATTTATATAGTACAAATTTTTTTGGTTTTATATATCTTTTAATTATTAATTTTAATAGATTTAAGAAATGAGATTAAATTATTTTTTTATTTTAATAAAATTAAAAGAATGATAGTAAGGAAAAATGTTAATATCTACAAAATCAATATTTATTTCCATGAATCAAGAGAAAAGAAAGTGTATATAATACTTGATTTGTCCAAATTAATCAGGCAAATAATAATTTGCAACACCTCCATATTTATATTGAACATTTGTATAAATTCAGTAGACTAAAATTTGTATTAATTGTTGCAATTCAAATTAAAGTGCTAGAGTTTTATTACCTTTTTTACAAAGAGCACAATTTAAATACTAGCTGATTGCTTTAGACTTAAATCTTTTTTATAAGAAAACAAAAAAATAATAATAAATATCATCTCCAAACTCTCTCCCTATGTAAACCACTTTCTTCTTGCCAACAAACCAGTTGATTCTAGAATTTTTAAACAGTTCCTTCCTTCTCTGCATAAAAACCATATTTCATTCCAGCTTTTTCCCTCTGAAACTGAAAACAAATATGGCTAGATACTACAGATATTCATTCTTAGACTATCTTTCCCCTCCTCCTGTCCACCTATGTTTATTTGTTTTCATCCTCTTCTTTGTACTGGGTTTTTCCTGGTACATAAACTATGAGTCCATGTTTGAGGATTTCATCAACCAGCTCAAATTCTTCCTCATGCTGACCCCGCTTGTTCTGCTTGTTCTGGTTCACTGCTTATCTGGGAGAGTTCCTTTCCTCATTCCATTACCGGAGCAAGATTCACTTCACAGAGCAGGAGGGTCGCCATGGGGGGTTGCACTTGTGCTTGTGTTCCTTCTATATATGATCTCCTATCAGTCTTCTTTTCATGAGCGTTGGTTTCCATTGGTGACTAAATAAGTAATCAATTAACAGATCACATGTACGTAAGGTTGAGGTTGAGCTTGGCTTCTTTTTCGGTACACTAAGACTTGCTCTTGTATCTTTCCAGATTAATCTCTATCTAATATCTGTTGTATTAAGTGAAGTTTTTACTGTAAATCATTTCTCTGGTTATTGTTGGTTGGGGTCACGGATGTTTAATCCATTTTTATTAATAACCAGTTTGTGATTTCTGCTTTGTAGCTTGACAATGAGCTAAAAGGGAATAATATCACAAGGTTGTAAATAGTAAATTTTGAGGTAATTATAAATGCTTAATTCACATTTCACTACAAAGTCCTTTTTTTTTTTTTTGGGGGGGGGGGGGGGGGGGGGAGGGGGGGTGGGGTTCATTCTAATTATGTTTTTCGCTTTATTAAAATTTTGAATTTTTAACTAAAGTTAGTAAAGCTAACCTGAGAACAAATCGTTTGTTCAGTACGACCCAATCAGAACTCAAACGGATTTAATTTGAGTAAAACTGTCAATAACCAGAGTATGTATAATAGAAACTAGAAAATGATGTGAATCTGAATTATTAATCCAAAATTATTCTGAGTTTAAGTTGATTTGATTTTTAATATGAAATTATCGAAATCCAAATAAAGTTTTGGAATTAATTATTTTGATGGACTTCTAACTTTCAAGGCATCAACATTCTCGAATCTTTCAAAAGCTTAGGTTGCTTCATATTGGCTCTCTTATTTTTTAGGCATTAGGATTAGCTATAAAGTTGTCGAATTTGCTCTAGACTACCCATTTTAGAGTTTTCACCATAGAGCATCATTCTCTCTTCATTTTTTTTTTTTTACATCTTTCTTCTCGATTGTTCCATCATGCAGTTAAGATTTCACATTATTCAAAATGGCCACATGGTTCAAAAAGGATAATTTTCATAAAGGAAAATTGGTAAAAACTTCATCAGTTATGGTAATTTCTCAAGGAAAATGCTCTTCAGTTAAGTATTTATGCTTGATTAAAATAGATTTTTCACAGCTTGTAACATAGGCCAGGGTTGGGGTTCTGAAAGAAAAGGATAGATAAACCCAAAGTATGTGTATGGAGGTGATTAAACTAAGGATTATTTTCTATGAAAGGTTTCCTTTGGGACATTTGTCATTTTTTTTTTCAAACATCATTATTCCATCATATTATTTATCTTTTTTTATCCTTTTCATTTTCCTTTTTTCTTTTTTCCTTTTTTTCTTTCTTTTCTACTTGTGATGAAACGAGTTCAAAACCTTTGAAACTCAATTTATTTAACATCTACCCCTCAATAAAAGATATCATATATTATTCTTAAATTAATCCTTCCTTATCTTTACCCTTTGATGTGAAAGGTGATCCTTGATTAGGATTCACTTAAAAAGAATTCATTTGGTCTAAAAGGGTAACAAATAGATAATTTTTATATTTGAGAAGGGATGATGAAAGATGGTCATTTGCCATTTTAAACACAATCACTTAAACTAGATAGCAATTCAGTTTTAGAAAAATAGGTTTAAAGAAAGGCTTTTTAAAAATTTTTGGTGATATTTTACTCTTTTGTCTTTTATTCTCAATCCTAGGTATTTTGGTTTTCTCTAACTATTTCCTCTTAGTTTTTGGTTTTTTTTTTACTTTTCTTCTGATTTATTTAAATATCTCAAGTGCATAATGTAACAATGGATATTGTTTTTTTGTTTTTTTTATTTTTTTATTATCATTTTCTTCATGCTTGTACAACTCATACACAATTCACAAAAGGTTCTCTATCTTGATCTACCATCTGAAAAAGGTACATATGATGATAGCAATCATGTTGAAAAGGTTTTTAGATTGATCATGTCATCCCACCAAAGAAATAGTTATGGCATAAGTGAGGTTGTTGTCAAGACAATGAGCGGTCTTATTCTTTTGGTTAATATACCCTTCCAAAACATTGAACAATAATCATTTCAGGATTGGAATTTAAACATCATGTATTTGCAGCATTTTGGCAAGGTTTAAGTAAGTGGTTTTATTTTTTCGGAGCAAGCATAATCTTGAAACATATCAAATTACTAACATTAGATCTTTTAAACAAAGGGTTGCATTTGCTAGATTTTCAAGAAATAAAATAACTTTTTTCAAAGTAGTTGTTTCATCGATCATTGCCTAAGAAAATAGTATCCCCTTTTTATATGTCACGATATGATCATGTGAAGATGGGATTGAAACTTATGCCCCCTTGAAACATCAAGTTCTTGAGTGGTTTTCATCAAGTGGTTTGGGGCAAAAAAATGTTGTAAAAGTTATTTTCTGAGGTTTATTGCAAATAATAATCACCAATTTTTTGATATTCGTCATAACAAAAAGTAATTGTTTGATCGATCATTGCCTAAGAAAATATTATCCCCTTTTTATATGTCATGGAATGATTGACTGAATATGGGATTAAAACATGTACTTCCTTGAAAGATCAAGTTCTTGAGTGGTTTTTATCAATTGGTTTAGGGCATAAGAGTGTTTGTAAAAGGCATTTTTTAAGGTTCATTCCAAATAGTGATCACCAATTCTTTGAGATTCATCATGACGTATTTGAAAATCATTTTCTTTTTTACTTCTCATTTTTCCTTGATATGGAAAGTATGTTATATGGGTTTTATTTTCAAACAATTGCTTTAAATAAATAAAAATAAAGCAAAAGCAACAATATAAAATATAAAACACTCATTCAAAAATCTAACAATATTAATTCCATACAACAGATACAACTTAGCAATATCATGTGCAAACCATACATATGTACACCAAATAAAACTCCAAAAACTTAATACTTACCCTTCATTGTCTAAAACTTGAAACTTCCTTTCATATCTTAACACTTCAAAATTTGCAACTGGATTTAATACAAAATGGATTTCCATTGCTCCATAAGCTCTGAGGTCAAGATGCTACCATTGATGCCTACATTCTCAATCAAATGACCAGTTGCCCCCATGTTATAATCACATTTGCTATTCATAACTTTTAGTTGATAGATTTTGAATTGTTTTCAAAGCACAAGAGTGAGGTACTGACCTTCTATTAGCAAAGGCAAAAGATGAGAAATGTAGATTGAAAGTTTCTCTTAGCTATTTCTTGATCTTTTTTAGCTTTTTCTTGGTCAGGTGGTAAGCAAGATTCAAGAAAGGGATCGCGAGTAATCATTTAAGGATGGAGATTTACTTGAAAGCCTAACTGCTGGGTTGGTTGATAAAATGAAGTGGTATCTTCTAATTCACTAACAAAATATAAAATCTATATATTGACAATGCATCAAATATAATTTTTTTTTACTTTTTAATCTACCTTTAAAACCTCATTCACTGCTACTTACATGGCTAAAGAGGACATTATACACATAAACTCTTTTAAACTCGCAACCTTCAAATGCCAACTCCAATGACATGCCAAATGATCTATTGAATTTGATCTTGTAAGTTTTATGGATTTTAACTCTATGTTTGTTATTTTAAATAAAGATAAAATTAGCTTTTTTTTCAATGGATCTTAATTTTTAAATGTAGGATAACTTTCTAGGGATGGTAAATGTTCCTAAAATTATTTTGTGAGATGTACTTGTTCTCGAATCCCAATAAATAACCAAAAGGGCATAAAAAAATCCTTAATCATTTTCGGAGACTTTATTGTCCTCTTATATCTTATATGGGAATGTAAATTGTTCCTAAATAGTGTTAATCAAACACCATTTTAAGACATTTATGGTCTTTACAAATTTTATAAGGGGCATTTAATTCACGGTTTCTTAGATTTTAGGAGGAAAATTGATTTTGGAGAAAAGTGATATTAAAAGAGAATATGTGATTTTTGGATTTTATTAACATAGAAAATGTAAGAATTTTTATTTGGTTTAAGGGAATGTAAAATTACCTAAAAAAGTCTTTTACTTTATTACCCTTGATGATAAGTGAATAACATATGACGTTCAAACACTGACATGTCAATAACACATGACACATGAATAACACGTTATCTTTGTTAAAACTAAAAAATTTTGAAAAATGATTTTTAAATATTTTCAACAAAAGAAATCTTATAATCCTAATTACTATCCTAACATTAATTGTTACTCTACAGAGAAAATATGTGGATCGACCTTAAATTTTATATATAATAATATTAAGTAAAAATATTTTACGTTTTATTTAAATTTGTTATAAGTAGCAACAAAGACTACATTTTTTTATTTTAAAAACATTATCTTTGTTAAAGTTTCATAATTTCAAAAATAAAGTTTCAACATCCACTATATTTTTTATCTTAAAAAAGTGATCTTTATTAAAATTTTAAAAATATAATTTCAACATCTACTATTTTTTTATCTTGAAAATGCGATCTTTATTAAAATTTTAGGATTTTGAAAATAAAGTTTCAACATATACTATGTTTTTATCTTAAAAATGCAAGCTTTTATTAAAATTCCAAAATTTTGATAATATAGCTTCAACATCCATTACGTTTTTTATTTTAAAAATGCAATACTTATTGAAACTATAAATAGCAAAAATTACATTAATTTTGTAATTTTAGGAGGCTAAAAAAAATAATATAATTTGAAAATGCAATTGAGGACAAACAAAAAACAATTTACTTTTCTCTTGAAATCTCAAAAAACTTTAGAGAGATGGAAATTTTTATTCTCTCATAGTTCTCTCTTTTTAAAAATGTTAAAATCTTTAAAAAAATTTTCAAGAATTATATTCTGTGAATCAAACTAAGAAATCAAATTATAAAAATAAAATTCCAACAAAAAATCTTTCTTTCACCAAAACCTCATGCGCCATAAAATGAAGTGCGTCATTGTTAAAGAGTAGAGTATTAATTTGGGAAAAATCATCTCTAAAAATCCTCTCTAAACAAATTTATAATTTTTATGAGTTTTGAGACCACAGTTGCCCCTAAAAATTTGGGTGCAATAATTCTCCTTGACATTGTTTTTGGGATATAGTTTTAGAAGATGATTGGTGAGGATAATCACGATCATCCAAAAAGATTTTGGAGACGATTTTGCAGCATTGAGGGACTACTTGCGCCTCTAAATTTTGTAGTATATCTTAAAACCAACTTTACTAGCATATATCACA